CACTAACAGTTCCAAGCTGATTTAGGTGCTTCTTTAGTCAAAGGAATATAAACGTTATTGCATGGTATTAAAAGTCATATTTTTATAGAAGCAGCAATTCTCTTAAAAAATATTCATTGAGATATAATTCAGGAATAATCGCAACTCACAGGGATTTATGTAAAGTGGTATTAGAATTTTTTACATGTTGATTTTTATCATCACTTCATTATTCACTGCTAAATGATTCCTTTCTCTTGGGCTACTTATAGAGACTCCTGAGCCATCTGCGTCTAGAGACTCCCTGCAGTATATGCATTTACGCGGTTTCTCTGGAAACCATCATGGTTAATTCCAAGTGCATTCATCACGATAGGCTAACTGTCCTACCTTTTCATTCTCACCTATCATCCCTCAATTGGGCCCGGCCAGTGTATATAGTTACCGCAAGCGGGGTTACCATTAAATTATTATACAATAAAAATAACCTTAAGGCGTCCCGCACTACGTTTGCTGATACGCAGTTTCCATTTCAGAATATATCTGCTTTAACGGATACACGGGGTCCGGGATGCATCCATTGCACAAATTAGAAAACAAGAACTATATTAATTTTCATATGGAAATAATACAGGTTGTTACATTGTGAATAAGCTAAATAAATAATAGATACAAATGTAATAAGAAATTAATATATATTTTTTTCTTTTTGTTTCAGGTAAAGACCTTTCTTCAGTTATTTGTAACTTGTAAGTTATTTCGTTGTCTTTAATACGGTAAGACATTTTTTTTTATATTTTTTGTAAGTATAATAAGTAAATACCTAATTAACGTACATATTTTTATGTCTATAAGAACTAAAAACAGAAAAAGAAATATGAATAATTGAAAAGCTTACCTTCTTGCCCGCAAATAAAAGCTAACGAAAAGAAAGACCGTTTCTTTTATATTTTAATAATTAAGCTTTTGTTTTCATTTCAGGCAAGTATTTTTTGATTGGTCATGTAAATGTAACAAGGAGTACTTTTAAGATTATGAATTATTCATTAGCACTTGGAAATCCAGTGTTAGACATACCTTTATTTACAAATTCATTTTAATTATTCTAATAAGATTTGTTTTCCCCGTTCTGAAATATTTTATTGAGTTAATTATTATTTATTAATCCAATTTGCAATTAAATTGTAATAAAATATAATATTTATTTCATTTACAAATTGATTTTATTTGTCCAATGCACAGACATTTACTCTCTATTTTTTAATATAACGGTTGACTGGTACAGAATGCCATCAAGCATTAAATGCGCTCTGTGAACATGTTTTATTATACCTGTGCAAAAATATAAATAAATAAATATAAAGATTATTTCCTTTCGTATAAACATATGTACAATAAAAAAAAGGATATAAAAACGTGTGTTTAATGCAAAAATATGTAATAAAAACAGTCAAAAACAATACAAGGAACTTTTTGAAATATTATATAATATGTAAATATTTCTGCTTCGCTTAAAAAATATTCTATTTTGTATCACAAGCAATGTTGATGGAAATTGAGTTTCACGACCAGAATGTTTGACCTTGCTTTAACTATTTCACCTATATCTGATGTCCTAAGTCAATAGCATTTATTGACATAGGATAGTTAACTATTATCTCCTTATTGTATGTATATATTGTTAGCTTTACTATTTACATATAACGTAATACATTGTATATGCCTAAGTGATTCATCATAGTGTAAATAGAAGCTAACTGGAGAATACAAGTTATGGTACATGACTATAAGATTAATGGACTTAAAAAATTATTGTTTTTTTTTTTTATACAACATAAAATGGTAAACAAGCTGACGGCCCACCTGATGGAAAGTGGTAACCGTCGCCTATAGACATGAGCAGTACCATGGACATAACAGAGTATATATACTGTTTCGTCCATGAAACCCCCTATTCGTTGCCATTCTTGAGGACTCAGGTGTTATTTCTCTGTAGCCAGTAAATTCACTGCCATATCCCACCCTTCAAACTGAAACACAGCAATGCAAACACAACTTTTTCACGGTAGAAACACGAATGGGACAAAGGTGCCAGACAGAGACAGAGGAGAGACAGAGGAGGACTGAATTTGCCTGAAAAAAGGTTTAAATCTTGCATAAAACACATTTTTTGCAAGAAGGCATATAACAGACTAGGCGAGTATATAAACGATAATAGAATATATAAAAGAAATGCTGACAATATGCCTTTTACTGTGTAATGTGTGAACACTATGACTGTTATGTAGTATGAAATTATTTTAATTTGCTATGACGTGGTTGGATGCCTTGAGTATGTTATGTTCACTAAAATGTTAAGACAGGTGATCGATTTCATTTCATGAAGGGTCCTGTTCAATTCGACGGAGTACACAAAATCAGCATAATTGTGATTGCTATAAAGTGAGTACTTTAACCCACTTAGATTTCCCCTCGAAGTTGCATCATTCCATCTCGCCATCTTATGTCTATTTTATCATCTTTTTATCCTGATTCTAACAACTCTATTGAAATATTCATCAGAAGTGTATCGGACGTTATATACAAATGAGGTTCCGTTTTCAATCATTAGTTACTAATGAAGTAACTAGATCTCATTGTTCATTTAGCATTAAATGAGTTTACTCTGAAAGCTTGCTATCGGGAATTCGAATATACATAAACAGATAAACGTTCGTAAATTATATTAATTACTTTATGTAGTTCCGTATATCGTTATAGTTGTGCACGTCATATCTATCAGATGTGACTCAACTGTCTTGGTAATGACGGTGAGCTTAAGTATTTTTTTCCGTATAAAAAAACTATAATAACTATGCAACAACTTATTATAATGTTACATAGATATTTTGTTTATTTACATAGGGTAACATTAGGTTTTATATTAGTAAGAAGGATAACAACCTTTAGACCTTTTAATGAGGTAGAAACTTGAAATTAATTTTAGTAAAACAAGCTGATTACCTATCAGATATGCTAATGTTATATTAATCTCACTATCGCCTTTAATATTTACGCATATTAAACAATACAATGAATATCACAAAATACACTATGATTTTACTGTATTACAATATGCGTTACTATTGGTATTATGCTTCTGTTTGCAGAAATTTTACTGTCACGTTCCACCTTTCATACCCACACCACAGATAACACAATATTGTAGTAGCTACTAGAAAAAACATAGTTATATAGTGCTAACCGACAAGAATACGAGTGAAAAAATGCCCTTAAGTGCCTATTCAAACAATTTTTGTTCAGAGTATGTCTGTTAATATAATTTTGTGGTAGAAATAATTACACTAAAAACAAAAATTTGGGTTTCCTTCACATTAAATCTAAATCCTTGTTATCAATTGTCATCAACAACTTTATATAGCAAATTTAAATCTCCTGTAGTCTTTAAGAAAAATAAACTGTGTTATGCATAATGTTTTTCAAATTTACATTTGTATCATTTAAAAAGAATCATTGCCACGTAGATTGTGCTTCAGAGGGTACATAAAGTTGTCGTTAAGTTAACCACGTCACAAATAATGCCACGTCATAGAACTTCGTGCACATCGAATGCGGTCTAGATAGTCTTAACATCAGAGGGCGCTACCCTCACACGAATAGTTTTTTTTTTATACCACTGAGGTGGCAAACAAGCATACTGCCCACCTGATAGTAAGCGGTTACCGTAGCCTATGAACGCCAGCAATACCAGAGGTATTATGCGCGCGTTGCCGACCCTGAAGAAACCGTTTTAAAGAACCCCATACTGTAGTCTTTTGGAAAAACCTCGGTAGTAGTTGTTAGTTGTTATATAATTTTAAATAACAGTTTTTTTTTTTATCTCTCTATTATACTGAAGACCATTATTTAACAATATGTTAACTTCAAAACCGAAATAAAATTTTCTTTATTGAAATAGACTTGATAACAAACACTTTTAAATCGTCATTCCCTTTTAATTCTCTCTTAACATTATGTCATTTATTTAAATGTACGATTTCGACTTTTTCGTAATATAAATAACTAATTCAATAACATTGTGATCCGAGATCTTATAATCTAGTACTGTACAATGTCACAAAAATCAGCATTATACATATAATAATATTATTAATACTTAGTTTTTATCTTGAATGCAGTTTACGTGCAAAATGAATTCTTTTTATAAACACGACCTACTTCCACGGAACGTATGCTTCTTGTGCTGTTTTCCTAGTTGTAATAGATAGATTTCTACTTTCTAAGGGCCTGACTTATGTAATGGACAATAAAAATAACTACATTTACATAAATATGCATACTATATCTTTTTTACATAGCCAAACTATGGATGGAGTGATGTTTAGAATTTGAATGAATGAATAATCCATAAATAAAATCGTATTTATAGCCAGAGATATTTAATTCACCTGATTTTATAACAGTATATTTTATCTGTGTTACCAGATATAAGGCCTATTTCTCGAAATAGATAAAATTTTAAAAGTAATTCTTTGTAATAGTTTTTCAATATTTTAAAAAATTTCAATGAGCATGTATTTTTTATATATATAGCTACACGACATTTTTGGTTATTCTGAACCGATTTCTATCATACTTTTTACAATTGATACGATTCCCTTCTTTCGGTGTAGTCTTTCTCATATTCCTTATTGAAGTCTCTGTTTCTTTTCTATGAACCTGACTTGATCCTCACCTATCATCAATCACTGGTTCCCCGCCTACCTATATCGATAGCGCAGACGGGCTGGGCTTACCATTCCATTATCCTCATTTAAAGAAATTACTGTATTTAGGAATTAATTAATTAAATAAACGACTAATTTGCCTTTTTCCACTTGTTACCTGTTCATCTATCGTGGGGATCGTTTCTCTTCAATTATTTTTCTTTTTCCTCAACCCGCCTTCAGTTTCAGAACATAAAGTATTGTTTTCTATATTGTCGGTAGGTATATATAATAAGCTGATGGTTGGTGTTCCAGTGGCGAGTCCGCCGGGCGGCGCGGGCGCTCCACGGGAGGAGGCACCACGCCCGCCGCCGCCCCCCGCGCCCCGCAACGGCACATCCCCCAGTAAGCACGGCTGAATAGGCGACTATCTCGATCACTGACGTATTCTAAATTCTTTTGCTTTTTTTTTTTAATTAGAACAAAAAGAATTAAACGAATATGCATGCTATATTTGTGATATCATTTGGAAGTATATTAAGTTATCTTTCAATATAAAATAATGTTTTTATTGCAAATAAAAGAATTGTTTTAAAGTCATAAACTTCATTTGAATTAAAATCAAATTTATGTAAAAAAGTGTAAAAAAAATAATAATAAAAAATTTATTAATCACTTAATCCTAATATCCTGTATTAACTTTATTACATAAAGATAATATTTTTTTAGGATATGATTTCTTTAAAAAATATTCTCATAATTTGACATTAAATCAACATCACTGTTGTATACAGTTTAAAATTTGACTAAAATTGTAAAAACATTAAATTAGATTTATTTCATTTTTTAAACATTTTGAAAACATAATTGTAAATATTGTTTTAATGTATAGAACTGTATATATAAATGTTTTTTGTTATTTTTAATTTATATACGTAAGTACACCTTTTTTTTATAAATATAAATAATACAAAAGTACGTATGATCGAATAGTCAATTTAATAAAATCGCGATAGTCGCCAAGCCAAATGTGCACGTTACAAAATCTCTTTCTTTTATTTGTCTTTTCCTGCGCACGCGCACCCGGCACTTCACACATCCTTATCAAACTTATGGGTAGTTATTAAAAACAATGTAGATAATAAAAGCCCATAATTTTGACCTCAGGTTAAAGGAGTTCTTATATTTTTTTCACAATATTTTGTGTTATAATTTGTTTTCAGTGTTTGAATTATATAGAGAAATTACACGAGTTCTGTGTTTTTGTTCTAAAATATTAATATTATGGCGTACCGTGGTAAATTAATCAGGCTCAAACTCTGAGTATCTAGGAACTACAAGAGTCAAAAATGTTAACTTTATCTTCTTTTACTCAGTATTTTATACAAAACAGGTTTTCTGAAATAATCCAAAACTAAGTCATAACAATACAAAATGAATCCCATGAATCCATTATATTTAATACAATGTTTCGAGAATTAAAAACATATACAAGTATATCTATAATTTACATTAAAAGAAGTCACGATATTAATCTAATACTAAATATACATACCATAGACATGAAGAACAACTATTACGTATTACGTCATAGTTTGTTAATATATAAAAATTATATATATATATATAGTGTATTTAGTGTATTTTTTATACAATAGATATAAAAGCCTTTATTAAGCAATAGACAGTTAACAACTTATATGAATACTCAGATATAAATAAAAATAATTATTCAGTAACTTAAATATTAATATTGAAAATAATTAAACAATAATACGAATCATTGTGCAATGATTAACTGTTCTTTCAAATATATTCGATTATCGATATACGATTTTCCCATATATTATTAAGTAGGTAGTAAATGTGCATTATGGTATCCCTACTCACGCACACATATATAAAAAATTTGACCTGTTTTTAGCGAAAGATTTGCATGAAGGCGCTCTATATAATCTAATAGGTATATATAATACGACACGCATAAAAGCAAATATAAGAAAATGTAATAAGAAAAAAGGTTTCCGTGTCAAAAATCAACTTTTTCTCACCAATTTTGTTATAAAGAAAATGTAATAACACTGATAAGGTATCACGAATCTACACACAGAACTCGTGTATTAATTCGAAATGTTTGTATTTGTAAAAAACATTAGTGCCTGTTCCCTTGAATGTTTGATCGAGTTATTGTTACTATGTACATTATCATTATTATTCGAAAACACTCTTGTTTGTTCTCTGTAAATTCTATTTTCTTCTCCCTTTGTAGTTAGAATGTAACTTGAGTATTTACTCTATATTTAATAGAGTAGGTTATTAATAAATAAGTTTTAGTCCACTAGGTAGTTTTTATCTTTATAATTTTACATATATGTCCTTTTGAAATTTATTAATAAGGAAATTGGTAAGTAAACAATTTAATATTGAATAAGAATGCTTGTAGCTTCATGTTTGAAATTTTTAATTGTCATTTTAAAAATTAATTGTTATTTCTCTAGATGTTTTTATGTATAGTTAGAATAAAACCTTCCGGTTTTGTTGTTTGCCGTTTCGTGAGAATATGATTGAAAGACTTAGAGGATTCAAAATAAATACATGAAAATGTACTTTCTATAACAATTTAATTTAATTAAACTATTTTAATATACACAAAATTACAAATTTAATTAAAAAATAAAAAGTATCACATCAACAAACAATTTTTTTTTGTCATTAAACCATTATATAATAATCACTAATCTATTCTAAATTTAAAAAAATCGCACCTACTTTAATTTATGATGATTTCCATATAAACATATAGCCAGATTGATAATACGAGTAGTAATGAAATTATAATACAGTCATCTTGCTATCAGGCTCAATCTGAAAAAAATCAAACTCAATCGCACACTCTCATTTTAATCAATTAATTCAATAAATAAAAAAAAGAAATTAATAAAAATGTGAAAGCGGATTATAGTATTTTGTTACCGTACGTGAACGTCGCACTCGATTTACTACATTTTGCATAACGTACCAACATTGTTTTTTGTTTGTTTTTTTTTGTGATTTTGATTGTCGAAGATTTTCGATAAAATTTCTGTGGAACCAATCTGTAAATATATCCTTTCAGATAAAGATTTTTTTAAATCGATTTAGAACTAACGGAGTTATGTTACAAACATAAAAAAAAATACAGCCGAATTGAAAACTTTCTTTTTTTAAACTCGATTGAAAATATCAAAGTATTACCACTTTCATCACATTTCATCCTCAAAATATCGTATGAGACAAGGAAACAAAAGCCGATACGCCATTAGAAGAGAAGATAAATTTTTAAATAAAAACCAAGACTTCTAACAAGTTTATAGTTGGCTATACCCTACACTTTTGAAGAAAAATCCGTGGCCAATACTGTATTATACCCAATCACCCTCCCACAGAAAGTATGAAGACCCTGATGATGATGATGATGATGATAATCCTGATTGATCAATTGGACATTGTACACTTACCTAAGTAAATTATGTAGTTTATGCTCCAGTGTGTTTGTAAATCTTCTTTCACACTCTTTAAACATGTGTTGTAGACATATACATAGTACAGAGTAAAGTACATGTTATATAGACAAAAAAATATTGAAGCAGCACGTCTAAACACTTTGTTAGTCTATGCCTGTTGTGAGCGAGACAGTTTCTGCTTTCTAACCGAAAAGAAATAAAGCTCAATTTACTTTACTCGGCCTAAAGCGTAAATGTATTGACAAATGTTTTCGTTTACCACTTGCTCGTAAGCACTGGAGTGTAATTGTCGACGCTTAGTGATAATTCTGCGGTTAATGTGTCTCATTTATAAGTATAACACCTTGCTCCAGTCTTCCAAAACAAATCATCGAAATTACCTAACAATGTAGATCCCGACAGGTAAACGGCGTGATAAATAAGCAAACTGCGTGGCTAATTTATCAAGAGCTCATTGGTAATTAGGCATCAAGCAAAATATCAAGTTTTTTTTTCTTTAAATGAATGATAATACAATAAACTAAGGTAATTGTTTACGCTATCAGAGTACCGATGAGATATGATAAATGATCCGAAATGGCAACGCTGAATAAAGCCTTTATGATTAAAAATATTGAAATATGAAAATCATACTTCAATAATTATTGTTTCTTTATGATTCTTCAAAAAAAGGAGTCAATAGAATCATTTTATCTTAATCACTAGGGAATATCTCAAGAAGAAATATATATAATAATAAATTATATATATATATATATATATATATATATATATATATATATATATATATATATATATATATATATATACGAGTATTTAATTATTGTCGCACAGAATTTCGCATTGACAAATTTTAACTCTCTAATAACCTATAACCTTTGAATTTAACGATAATCAATACAACAGTAAAGCCTATTTATATAGCCATGTATACACAAAATTAATTATTTAGAAATACATAGAATTTATAACGTAAACTCGCAACCTGATACAGTGGTTATCCTTAATTACAACAACAAAGATGTTGTGCCTTTAATCAATTTTGTACAACACAAAATTTACATTCGCCCGTTTCCAGGCACTACGTAAAGACCTTTATTTTGACGAGTACAATAACCATTTACAACGGCTACATTGAAATGAGTATTCATTTACGATGTTTACAAGTATACGGAATTAAGTCGCTCAGTGACGTTGTTCAGTTCGTAATTACTAATAAAATGTTGCTACATTCGAAATGTTAGTGCCTCTTGTCCCTAATTAAAACCCATTCATTATTTATACAATTTCTTCTGTATTGTGAATATTTATGGGCAATACTCAGTCCGTTTGCTCCCGGCATAGAAATGGCCACCCCTTCCTTACCCGTGGGTGTTGTAAGAGGTGACTAAGGGAGGGCGAGGAATGGGCAGCGACGTCTCTCTTAAAATATCTCTAAAGTCTAACTGCGGTTACTAATCCGCCTGCCAAGCATAGCCACTATTGACACTATTGACCCCCCCCCCCCCCAAGGAGGAAGTTTATGTTTGGCAGTGGACAGTTAAAGGTTGATATGATGATAATGATGATGGTTCAGGGAGGAGAGGTATCAAGTTCAATGGTTTATATTATCCTGCATCATATCTTAATTATCCGCGTGCTGTTATTGATCAAATATCAATTTCCTTCTGTAAGCGATAGTTTCCGACGACTTATTTGCCTTCCAATAATATTTAAAAAAAAATATCCTTTGTTATCGGAACCTACACCAGTAGATGGCGTAACCTGTATTGAATTTTACGCTGCCTTTATCACTGATTTATTATGTTTGAGTTGCGTGACATGCAACGAGGGTTGACTATAAAATTCTATGACTTCAATAAAAGCTTACAGTCACAACATTTAAAGTCCATTTTACAACAA